TGTCACTTATAACTTCTAAAATTTCTAATTAAATAAAAACGAAAAATAAGTCAACAAATAACTAAAAATAGTACATATAAAACTATTTGAATATTTAAAATTACATCAATAAATATATTTAATTATGAATTTAGGATAACGATAAAATTTTATATATTTAATTTCAAAAATTAAAATTTGTAAAATGAATATACATATAAGAACAAATGAATAAAAAAAAATAAAAGACATACAAAATTAAATAATATTGGTGTCAAACGATTGTTAAGAGGTTGTTGATCTAAAGAGATATAATATATATTATTTTACTAAAAGGATATTGAACCATTTCACTAAAGAAGAGATAATAANATGAAACTTATTTTTAACAAGGTTTTCTACTTGTTTAGGAAGGTGTTTAGAAAGATCTTTCTAAACAAGTGAAAATCCTTGCTAAACTTATTCTTACGAAGGTTTTCTACTTGTTTAGTAAGACCATCCTAAACAAGTGAAAATCCTTCCAAAACTTATTTTTAGGAAGGTTTCCTACTTGTTTAGGAATGTGTTTAGGAAGGTCTTCTTAAACAAGTGAAAATCATTCCTAAACTTATTTCCAGGAAGGTTTCCTACTTGTTTAGGAATGTGTTTATGAAGGCCTTCCTAAACAAGTGAAGATCTTTCCTAAACTTTTTTTTAAGAAAATTTCTTACTTGTTTAGGAATGTGTTTAGGAAGGTCATCATAAACAAGTGAAAATCCTTCATAAACTTATTTCTAGAAAGGTTTCCTACTTGTTTAGGAAGGTGTCTATGAAGGCCTTCCTAAACAAGTGAAAATATTTCCTAAAATTTTTTAAGAAGGTTTCTTATTTGTTTAGGAAGGTGTTTAGAAAGGCCTTCCTAAACAAAGTGAAAATTCTTCCTACATTTATTTTTAAAAAGGTTTCCTACTTGTTTAAAAAGGTGTTTAGGAAGGCCTTCCTAAACAAATGAAAATCCTTTATAAACTTATTTTTAAGAAAGTTTCCTACTTGTGTTAGAAAGATGTTTAGGAAGGCTTTACTAAACAAGTGAAAATCATTCATAATCTTCTTTTTAATGAAAATATGTATAGTTTAAGAAAATAACATAAAAGTAAATAACGAAATTTACATCAACATAAAAAAATGTAATATATGTTAAATAAGACAGAAATATTAATATAAACAAAACACAAAAGTTAAATTTTTAATGATAAAATATTAATACATTTAAAATAATACCATAACTTAATTAAAAAC